CACGAGCTGCTGAGCCTGGGGGTGCTGGGCCTGGAGGTGCGGAGCCTGCGCCTGCTGGACCTGGGGGCTCTCCGGTTCTTCCGTCTCGGCGGGAGCCGCTCTCTCCACAGGAGCTGCGCGAGTGGTTTGCTCGCCGCTGGAGGCGTGCTGCTGGAGCTGGAGCTTCTTCGCCTGCTGAGGGTTCTGCCGGTCCCGGAGCTGCTGGACCTGCGGGTCCTACTGGAGCTGGAGCTACTGAGTCTGGGGGTGCTGAGTCTGGAGCTGCTGAGCCTGGGGGTGCTGAGTCTGGAGCTGCTGAGCCTGGGGTTTCTCCTGCTGCTGCGTCTCGCCGGGAGCCCCTCTCTCCACAGGAGCTGCGTGAGTGGTTTGCTCGCCGCTGGAGGAGTGCTGCTGGAGCTGGAGCTTCGTCGACCGTCGAGGGTGCTGGTGCTGCCGGTCCCGGAGCTGCTGGGCCTGCGGGTCCTACTGGAGCTGGAGCTGCTGAGGGTGTTGGTGCTGAGACTACTGCTGTCTGTCCTGGCGGTGGTTCTGCTGCTGGTGCTGCTGGAGGTCCTGCCACTGGAGGTGTTGGTGGCGCTGGTGCTGTCGCTGAGGGTGCTGGTGCTGTCCCTGCTGAGTCTGGAGCTGCCGCGCGGCCTCGGCCGTACTTCGTTCCGCTCCTACAGCAGGTTCTTGGTCTTTCTCCTTCGGTAGAGTGTCCACAGCCTGTCCAGTCGCAGTCACTGTTGGAGCCTTCCTCTCCTCTGCCTGCTCCCTCTCCTTACATTGGTACTACTGGAGGTCTTGCTGAGCGTCGTGAGCCTGCGTCTCGTCCCGCGTCGCCTGTTCGTGCTGCTCGCGCTAGTGGTCGCGGTTCGCGTCAGCGTCCTCCTCCTGTCCCTGGCACGCACCGGATGTCTCTGCGTCCGTCCACTGCTCCTCTGCGTGCCCCTTTGCCTTCTCCTCCTGAGTCCTCTCTTCCTGCGCTTGCCGACCCTGAGTCGGACTCTCTTCGTGCTGCCAGTCCTACTGTCACGCGTCTGCTTGCTACTGTCGTCACTGACCCCTCTTTTGAGTCCACTGCTGCGTCTGCTCTAGTCGCTGAGCTCGTTGACTTTGCTGCTCGCTGTCGTCTCGACTACGCTGCTCATCTTCTTGCTGAGTCTGCGTTTGTCTGTCCTCCGTCCGTCGGGGGTGAGTGTGCTCTTGGCACGGACGTCCTAGAGGACAGACAGGAGGAGTTACAGTGTCTAGCGGCTGCTTCACCTCATCTCGCGTCTGTACTGCTTGCCCCTGAGGGAGACCCGGATGCACTAGACATCCCGACTCCGCGTTCTTACGCGGAGGCCGTAGAGGGTCCCTACTCCTCTCAGTGGCAGGCAGCTATGGATGCAGAGATGGCTTCCTGGAAGTCCACAGGCACCTACGTTGACGCGGTTCCCCCTCCTGGGGCGAACATCATCAGTGGCATGTGGATCTTCAGGGTGAAGCGGCCGCCGGGCTCTCCACCTGTCTTCAAGGCGCGGTACGTTGCTCGTGGCTTCAGTCAGCGGCAGGGAGTTGACTACTTTCAGACCTTCTCTCCCACCCCGAAGATGACCACTCTTCGGGTACTGCTGCACATAGCCGCTCAGCGCGACTACGAGCTTCACTCTCTCGACTTCAGCACTGCGTTCCTGCAGGGTAGCCTGCACGAGGAGATCTGGCTGCGCCGTCCACCTGGCTTCACTGGGACTTTCCCTCCTGGCACCCAGTGGAGCCTCCGACGGCCAGTCTACGGTCTCCGCCAGGCACCGCGTGAGTGGCACGACACACTGAGGACTACGCTTGCGGCTCTTGGGTTTGCTCCTTCTACTGCCGACCCGTCGCTGTTTCTGTGCACCGACACTTCACTGCCGCCGTTCTACATCCTCGTGTACGTCGACGACTTGGTCTTTGCCACAGCGGACACTGCTGGACTCGCCTACGTGAAGTCCGAACTGCTGAAGAGACACACGTGCACAGACCTGGGTGAACTGCGCAGCTACCTTGGCTTGCAGATCACTCGGGACAGAGCACGCCGCACCATTACCTTGACTCAGTCACACATGGTGCAGCAGGTCCTTCAGCGCTTCGGCTTCACGTACTCCTCGCCTCAGGCCACTCCTCTGCCTACTCGCCACTCACTCTCAGCTCTGCCTTCGGATGAGTCCGTAGAGTCGAGTGGTCCGTATGCAGAGCTTGTTGGCTGCCTCATGTACCTGATGACCTGCACACGACCTGACCTTGCATACCCTCTGAGCATTCTTGCACGCTATGTTGCTCCTGGGAGACACAGACCAGAGCACATGGCTGCAGCGAAGAGGGTATTGCGCTACCTGTGCAGTACGTCGGGCATGGGGCTTGTGCTTGGAGGGCGGAGTCCAGTGGTCCTTACCGGCCACGCGGACGCTTCTTGGGCTGACGACCAGGCTACGCAGCGGTCGTCACAGGGTTACACCTTCAGCCTTGGTTCCGGCTCTGTCTCGTGGCGCTCTACTCGCTCGTCTTCGGTTCTCGGCTCCAGTTGTGAGGCTGAGATCTACGCCGGGGCCATGGCTGCACAGGAGCTTCGCTGGCTCACCTACCTGCTGACTGACCTTGGAGAGCCGCCTCGTTCTCCTCCAGTGCTGTACGTAGACAACAAGGCCATGCTGGCCTTGTGTCGAGAGCAGCGCTTGGAGCACAGAACGAAGCACATTGCTCTCCGCTACTTCCTTGCTCGTGAGCTGCAGCAGCGTGGTCAGTTGCGACTTGCGTACGTGGCCTCTGAGGCCAACACTGCTGATGTGTTCACCAAGGCACTCGCGCCTTGTGATCATCAGCGCTTTTGCACCCAGCTGGGTCTTGTGTCTGTCTTGCCTCACTTGCTCTCCTCTTGACTTTACTTGTACTGTGACATATATATATACCTGCTCTTGCTTGTCTAGTTTTATATATATGTCTGTACTCCTGCATGTGAACTGGCCTCTGGCCCTGCTCTTGTGCTCGGACTGTGTGGTGACTTTGTGATCCACCCTGAGCTTGCTTTGCTTTGCTTGACTGGTCTTGTGACCCCTTGTTCTCCCCCACTTTGCCTATGGGGGTGTGTCAAACATTATATATGTTATGCTTGTGTAGGCTACAGTGGGTTAGCCTATAGGGGGTACACAGTTCTAGGGTTTACTACTTGTACTCATTTTCACTTCTAGTTCACCCATTCCTGTTCGCTTATTCTCACATCTAGCTCTCATACCATGCTGATATAACCAAGGATCCAGTGGAGAGGATAGAATCTGTTAAGTCTGAGAGGGGACAATGAAGTCTTTGTAGTGACCTTGTTGAGTAATAATTGAAAGAGAACAAGATGATTGAAAGATAAGAGTACAAGAGATTAAATAGAAATCTAGCTAGCCATGTACCCTGAGGGGTACATTCCCTTATTAACTGTATTGCATAGCTACAGTAACCGTGACTATTGCTATCCTCGACAGTTACCATGTTGCAGTGAATTAACTGTCGCGCGGTTACTGGATTGTCAAGGGTCACGACCGTTGACTTCCTCAGACGGTTGACCTTCGGGTGACCCTCGACATTCCGCATGCTCTATATGAGCTATTGCGGTACTGGTACAGTGGAACAGCTTCGGGAATGCTTTATACAACCTTTCGGTTATTCCAACATCGCTGATTGAAACCTTGAGCAACGTAACGAGTCTTGAAGACAGGCAGAGAACCTGGCAGCCGCTTCACCCTGAAAATCTACATGCGATCGACGAGGTTCCCCAAGGGCTTGTTAAGTAGCGGGTCAGTGCGCCCATAACCTTCCAGGCCAACATGCCTGTAACCCTTCCTTATGATCAATCGGGGATCACCAGTGGACCTCTGACACCCCTCCGCACTGGGATGCCCGAAGTGCACACACTGGGATTCGAACCCGAGACCTTCGCTCTGATACCATGTTAGAATCTAGAGACAGGAATGAATGCACTATGGAAGAGTTGGGTACAAGTATGAAACTCTAAACAGGGCTGTACCCCATATTAGTTACCCCACTATAGCGTACACATATATAGCATGCATATACTTTGACACGCTACGACAGTAGAATGACCATTTCGCAGTTCGTGAAAGTAACAAACATTGAGTGTAGTCACCTGTCAGACATGCTGTTGTCTGTCACTCACGCGCTGGCTGTTTTGCGGTCAATCCGAAGGGGGATATCGGAAGGGATTTTTTGAGAAACTTCCTCTCGATAAGTCAAATTCAAGGACCACAGATTCGACACCCTATTAAATCAGGGTCCTCTAATAGGCTAATCTGTTACACTATACTCAAAATCAGGGATAGGAAAACTATTACTCTGATGTGAACAGGGTTGAGGACTCAGCAATTCTGAAATCTCAGTCTCCGCCAAATGGAAAGCTTGAAATCACCCTGAAATCAGGGTAATTACCCTGATAAACTCAGCCCTGGTTTACAAGCAACCACACAGTAAGTTGAGTGATGCATGGATCAGAAGCAGGGTTCTCGCTAGGTTTAGGGCCTGTCTGACAGTACCCTCAAAAACATTTTCCCCGTCTTAGGCTTTGACGACGAAATTTTTGTGGTCTGCAGTATAAGCTGAAATATTTTTCCTAGTCTGATAAACTAGACGAAAAAAAAAACCAAGTCAGCCTACAGCGAGGCTGCACAAGGCAGTTACAGAGCTGTATAACACACGCGTAATGAATGCGCGTGCAGTTACAAGGCAGCAATCGGCTGTACCTGTGGTGGTCCTGTCCTCTGGTCAACTGGGCCTATGGCCTAGTGGGTCAAGTTGTCGGTTTCAGACGAAACCGAACTCGCTATCTGTATCCTCAGATAAAAAATTCTACACGTCTGAAAAAATCATACGAACTTAAAAGTCAAATCTTGCTGATCAGATGAGAACAAACACAAAATCTTAGAATTAAGATGAATACAAAAAAACCAGTCTTAAACGCAGACCATCAGACCAAATTGGTCTGATAACGAGAACCCTGATCAGAAGAGGATTCGTCCAAAGACAGAGTGTCTGCTGGGATGCAAGGCCTGCTTAACCACGGGGTCATCCCCAACTGCTGCCATCTGCCTACACCGCAGCCGCTCTTGCAGCCTCACAACTACGCCCTTCCATACACCGCGCTTTGCATTGAGAACCGTGGTGAACGCGGAGAGGCCCAAGAAGGTGACTATGTCAGTGGTGAATAGGCATGGGATGGGTTCTCCCACTTCCCTGGATGCTGCTTCCAGCCGCGATCGAATGAGCCTTGCATAGTAGCTGCAGGCAGCAAGGGCGAGGGGGAGAGGTAAGGGGGGGGGGGGGGTGGGGGGGGAGGAGAACGAGAGAGTGGAAGGGATGGAAAGAGATCTGTTGCTCCGGAAACACAATCCGAGCAGGAGTGTAAGCTTGAGAACTGAGTGCCTCAAATGCAGCTAAGTTAGCTGGTTGAATTCAACAGGTGCAAAAAAGAGAGAACAAAGCATTACTCCAGCTTACTTGATAGCGTCAATAATCGCACGGGTGAAGAACTGGGCCTGTACGTGGCACACACATCGACCTCGCACAGCAGGAGAGGCCCCACCGTCCTTTCGCTTCCAAGGCTTCTCCTCCCCTGACTTGCTCTTTCCCATGCTGTGCGTGGTACGATCACGAGTCGTGCGAGGCACGCAGCGAGAGCGTGGTGTGCAGGCAGCAGCGGGGGAGAGGCGGCGCGCACGGCAGTAGGCAGTGAGCTTGATGGCGGCGAGGCACAGCGCCTGGTACGCGTTGACAAACAGTGTGGGGGAACTGTTGATTGCAGGGTCCAGGAGTAGTGCGCTGCACTTGGGCCGCAGGAACTGCCGCAGCTTCGTGGGTATCGCTGTTGCAGGGGGGTCACAGAAACTTACTGTCACTGCTGTGGCCATGTCCGTGCCCCAGTACCTGCCGTGCCGTGGGAAGGACAACAGGGTGTTCATGGCCTCGCGTGGAGTTTGCAAGCAGACGACATGGGCCAAAGAGCAGAAGTATCCAAGGGAGCTGTTACTACAAGGTAGGCAAGAGGAGAGATGGTGGTCGAGGTGAGGAGAGGATGAGAGGGAAGGTTCCTCGGGCAGCAACCGTGGAGGATGGCAACCCACAGCAGCAAGTGCAGGGCAGTGGCGGCATGAGAGGGAGTGCAGGGAGGGGCAGTGAGGGAGGGGAGGGCGCACCTGGTGTAGTCTGCCTGCACCTCCAGCGTGCTGCAGTTCACCAGCAGCCCTGCCCACCGCATGAATCGCCGCTTCGTCTCCAAGCCCTGCACCATCTCCCCACCATCCCCAACCTCCTCCTCATACACCCTCTCCTGAAATGTCCGCTCGTCGCTCTGCCTTTCCCCTGCCTCGCCCTGCTCTCCATTCCCCATCCTCTTCTCCCCCTCCACGTCCATTCTTTCTGCTCCTTCCTGTCCCTGCTGCTCCATACCTGCACTGCCCTCTTCCACCTGCATTCCTCCATCCCTTGCCACCCGCTCTCCTTCCTTCCGTCCACATCCGTCCATGTCCCCACCAGCCACACTCCCACCTATCTCTCTTTTTCCCTTCCCCAGCTCCAGTGGGAAGTTGACAGCTGTCTTGCTCTGGTTGGCCCGGCAGCCGTACTCCTGGAAGCCTGTGTGCATGGCGGCCACGTAAGCAGCAACATGGGGTTGCGATGTGGAGATGAAGAGAGAGTCATCTATGAGCCGCAGCAGCAGGGAGTGGGCGCCAAGGGGAGGGGGAGGGGAGTCACGTTGCTGCTGCTGCTGCTGCTGCTCGAGTTGCTGCTGGGAATTGCTATGTCTAGGTGGATGCACTGGCTTGGCACCACTCCCACAAGCCTCTCCTTCCTTCTCCTCTGCTCCAACCATCCCTACCCTCACCCGCACTGCCTCCCATCTCTTCTCCCTCTCCTTGCGCCTCTCACACTCGCCTCCTTCACCCGCCCCCTCCTCGCCCCCGTCCCCCCTGTGTTCTCCCAACTCCCCGCCCTGCCCTGCACTCCTGCCCTCCCCACCCTCCGGTGGCAAAGGAGCACCCAGGGCAAGTGGTGTGAGGGAGGGGAGGAGCACGTGGCGGTCCAGGTGTGCATAGAAGAGGGAGCACAGCAGCGCAGACAGCACCGAGCCCTGCGGGATTCCTGTTCGCTGCAAGAAAAACTGCCGCCCAGCCCTGATGACGTGGCAGCTGATGTGGCGCCGCAGCAGCTGGAGTATGTGGTCGCGATGCCACAGGGAAGTCAGGCCCTGACGTGGCAGTGGAGGGGAGGGATAAGGAGAAAATAGAGTGCAAGTGTTTCAGTGGTAGAGTGGAAGAGGGGGATTGAACAAACGTGCTTGTTTCGTTTGATCACAGTTGCAGCAACCCATCCTTCACCATCCTCCTCTCCCCATACTCCTCTCTCCACACCCTCCCTCCACCAGCCGAATGCCCTCTCTTGCCCCCTTTGTCAGCAGCCCTCACTCTCCCCGCAACCCCACCATCATTTGAGTGTGTTGACCGTGCAAGCACAGCTACCAAGGTGCACGCGCGTGTGTGTCCGGCCTTGTTCACAGCCCCTGCTGCTCCATACCTCCCACGCACTCAGGTGGAGCCCCTTGTTCCAACAATTTCAATCAATGCACACAGATGGGAGAGGCACCAACGCATCTCATCTCACCCACCTTATCCTCCACAATGCAAGCCCCTGATTGCCCCGCCTGCACAATGCACCACCATGGCACACATGCATGCTGCTGCTGCTGCCGCTGCTGCCACGGCCTCACAGCCACCACTGCTGCCGCTGTCGCTGATGGCGTTGCTGTTGCTTGTGTTGCTGCTGTTGGCTCCGCTGCTGCACTGTTGCATGCAAGCATCGCCGCTGCTTCAACTGCCTCCCTTGCTGCTGCACCTGCCCCTCGCACCTCATCAGCTGCTGGTCTTGCCATGCCAGATCCAGCAGTCACAGGTGTCACCGCAGGTGTCACTGTAGCACATGGATGTTCAGGTGCCATAGGAGTGGGCATGGGAATGGGCATGGGCATGGGCATGGCTGCTCTGTGGGACCTGGGAGTGATGAGCCCATTGGCTCGTGGTGCAATGGCAGAGAAGCGTCGTACAATGTAGGCTGGCGTTTCAACAAACTCCTGCTCACAGCCGTGGAGTGGAAAGGGGAAGGTGGGTAGAGAAGGAGAGGGCTCGGAGTGAACAAGGGTTCTGAATGAGCCCTTTAGACACTCGTTCATATCACTTGTCATCGCATCAGCCATAGCTGCGCTACTCCTCACCTGCACCACGTGTCACCTGCACCACTTCTCACCTGCATGATTTCCAAGAGCTTGGCGTGCGGAATCGTGTCATATGCTTGTGCCACGTCACACACTGCCATGTACACAGGGGGTACACGTGTCACCCTCTCACGCCACCAGTCACACAGCTGCTGATTGAACCATCGTTCTTGCTGCTTCGCCTCACACGTCCCATCCCACACCTCCCCCTGTTGCTGCCCCGGGGTGCTGCAGGCAGTGTGGTGCGCAGTGGGGCCGCGCATGGCAGGCAGGCGGGCTCTCAAGCGGAGCACAAAGGCACGGTAGCGCCCATACGCATCACTGTATCCAAACACAGATGCTCCTAGCCTGCCCTCCCTGCACTGCCTCGCCTCCCCTACGCAACCTCGCACCCCACTTCCCAGCTTTTGGTTTGCACCTCCCATTCCTCTTCCCTCGACTCCAACTTGATTCTCCTCCTCACTGCTCCTCCTCTTCTTACCGTCCTCCTTCCCCTCACTCACCACCCCCTCAATGTTCCTCCCTATCCCCATACCACTCGCAGCACCATCATCGCCACCCCCGCGGATCCTCTCTCCTCTGCCCGTGCGCCCACTCTCCTTCCTCCTCTTTCTGCTCCCTTCCTCCCTGCTATCCTCTCCTTCCCCTCCCCCGACCTCCTCTTGCTCTTCTCCTTCCCCACCGCACTGCTCATCCTCCCCCTGAGCTTCTCTCCTCTGATCATCCCTCGCCGCCCCATCCCCACTCCTCTGCATCGCCCTGTCGTACCGACTCTGAGTGGCAGTGGCACCACCACCTAAACCCTCACATGCCATGCCATCATCACCACCACCACCACGTGCCTCAGCGCCATGGCAGCATGCAGCATCCTGGGCAGCCCTGTCATGGTGCCCCCCTCCGCCATGCCACCCTCGCCTGCTCTCCACCTGCAGGCATGTGTGGATGCTCCTCAAACCACTGTTGATCGGCCCAAACCGCACCACCTGCCGCCTCCTCTTTGCCTGCACCGGTCGCCGCTCGCCCTCCTCCTGCTCCCCTGCCTTCCCAGCCTGCTGCGCCGCCGCCTGCCGATGCTCTGTGACTGTGGGTTGCTTGGGATCAGGAATAGGCGTGCACGAGTCAGGAAGGGCAGAGGATACGGGCGGGGAGGTGCAAGAAGGGGGGAGAGGAGGGCAGTGAATTGGGCGATCTGGCAGCGCAGGAGGAGGGGGAGGCGTGCACACGGCAGCAGCAGCAGCAGCCCCTGGGGTGTCAGCACGGCTGGCAGGAGAAGTTACTGTTGTACGAGGAGCTGGAGGCGTGGGAGTGCTGAGTACAAGAGGAGATACCCGGAAGATTGGCCTCGGCTTGAAGTTGTACGGCCGTGTGCGGGCAGCTCCTGAGATGATGGTCGGCACGTGATCAGTGGCGCATGGGGTGCCGGTGCCGGTGCCACCCACAGCACCACCACCCACAGCCACCTGCGAAATCTGCTTCTCTTCAGCGGCCCCTGGGGAGATCCCTGCGTTGCGGAGGAGATCCCTGTGCTGTTGACGCACCTGAGCACCTGGACGTGCACGGGCCCTCGCGGCCTTGGCAGCAGCGGCAGCGACTCTGTTCTCCTGCCGAACGGTTCTCAACACGGACCCAAAAAAGTCCTCTGACTCTGAATCTGACTCCTCTGCTGCCTCGCCGTCTGCTGCCGTGGCAAGCTCTAGGGGGCCCATGCCTGCTGTTCCCTCTGCAGGCATGCGGGCGCCTCCTGCTGGAGGTAGCGTGGCAGGGCTGGGCTGTGACTGTCGCCTCCTCCCTATGGCCTGACACGCCCCCACCACAAGCTCATTGCGCATGCGCAGGGCCTCAAGGAAGATCCTTGGAACCCCGGGCACACTGCGAGGCACTTCTGACAGGAGGCCTGGGAAGGCCGTGGAGAGCTGCTGCAGCAGCTGCGTGGGCTGCTGTGTGCGCTGCTGTGGGGCCACGTGCGATTGCGAGGGGGCTGCGGTTTCATCCCTGGTTGTAGTAGCAGCATTAGTATTTCCAAAAGCACCTGCAACGTTCGGAGCAGCAACGGCAGGAGCAGTACCGCTACTTGCTGGTGAGGAACCAGCAGCAGCAGCAGCAGCAACCACGCGATTTGGTTCTCGCTGCTCCTTGGCTCCTTCCCCACCTCTTCTCTTCCTGCCGCCTGTCCGTCGCTCCCCCTCTCTACCACTTTCCAAAGCGTCACACCCACCTTCAGCAACTCGCCCCACTCTCACTCTCTTTCTCTCTCCCTCACTCTCTCCTATCCCTCTTCTCCCCACGTGCTCACCCCTCGGCCCACACACATCATACACCGCTTTCCTCTTCTCGCACCGTCGCAACCCAAACCTCCCCGGCCCGCCACCATCATCCCTTTTAACTGCCCCCTGCCCGTTCCGGTCTTGCCCCACGACACGCCCGGGCTTGCTCTTGCGGGTGAGTTCCCAGAAGCGGGCTGCTGCACGCGGCCCAGTGGGGCGCATAGTGAAGCAGTGCAGGCAGGGCGCGGGCGGAGGCGGAGCAGTCTCCCAGCCACCCCCTTGTGCTTGTGCAATGCCAGGGCTACGGTCTTGCCCTTCCGGTGGCACCGATGCATGACCCTCATTCTGCTGCTGCTCGCTGTTCATCTGGTTCCGATTCTGCAGCTGTATGGCACAGCACGAGCACTGAGCTGGTGGCATCTGAGTTGCTGCCTCGGCCATCTCCCCCACTGCATACCTGCTTTCCTGTGTGGATGAGGATGTGGATGAGGATGAGGATCCATCTGCCTCGCCCTTGTTGTCCACTCGCTTAGCACTACTGTCCTCCTTCACCTCCCCAGTGCTCTTCATCCCCCGGTCACCAGAAAGAGCAGCAGCAGGTGGAGCAGGAGAGGAGCCACAGGAAGCAGTGGCACAAGTGATATCGTTCTCCCTGCTCTTCAAGGGAATGGCAGCAGCAGCAGCAGCAGCAGCAGCAGCAGCAGGAGGACGAGCAGCAGGAGCAGCAGCAACACCATGCCCTATCGCCAATTGTCCATCCACAGAATCCCTGTCTTGATCCTGTCTCCCCCCCTCTCTCTCACTCACCACCACCTTCCTCACTCCCTTATCTCTGGCTATGGCAGTCCTACAGACCTGCTCCTCCTCTCCCTTCCTCTGCTGCATCTGCTCACGCCCACCACGCCCACCATGCGCATCACGCCAGTCAGAACCATCCTTTCTACCCATGGATCTTCCCCCCACAGGGCGTTCAGTAGCACCGTCACGTGGCCCCTCCTCACCACGTCCCACTGCACACCCCTCATCCTCTTCGTCGCCCTCCCTACCCCCACCTTTCCCACTCCCCTTGTCCCCACCTTTCCCACTCCCCTTAACCCCACCTTCCCCATTCCCCTTATCCCCACCTTCCCCACTCCCCTTCTCCCCACATTCCCCACTCCCCTTATCCCCACCTTCCCCAATCCCCTGCCCCACGCTACCCCCACCGCCTTGTCTTTCGCCCCCGCCTCCTGGGGCAGCCGCAGCAAACACTCCAAAGGCGGATCGAAACTGAGCATCCAGCTCTGCTCTCCCTTGCATCCCCCCCACCTCCTCCTCCCCACCCTCTTCCACCTCCCATGCACCTCCACCCTTCCCATCCCGTCCCCCGGGTCTCGCTCTCTTGCGCGTCCGTTTTCCTCTGGGAGCGAGGGACACGTGGCTGCTGGCGCCGAGGTTCACAATGGGTCGTACCGTCTGCGCCTTGGGCACAAACCGCACGCGCGCTACTCCCAGCGCACGCCCCTCCCCTCCGCCGCCCCCTGCCTCTCCACCCTTGAAGCTGCTGCCTTGGCTGGCTGCAGCTGTGCGGTGGCCAGGGGCGGTGGTGCGGCGGGGGGGGAGGAGTAGGTGCTTGGCAGCAGCAGGTGTGAGCTTGTGGAAGGTGGCGGAGGAGGCAAGGCGCTGCAGTGCAAGGTACCTGCAGAGCACACAGGGGGGGAAGGGTGCACGTGCACGCATTGGCAGGTCAGCATGCAAGGACGGTAGGTGCACGCATGGATGTGAAGAGAGGCGAGAGGTGGTCACATAGAGGGGTGGTCAGATAAAGGAACGCAGCATGGCTGCATGGAAGATCAGTGGCACCGGGGCACAACGAGCGCATACAGTCACGTGCAGCAGGAAAAGGCAGGGCAGAGGACGGCAGGGCAGAGCATGGCAGGGGAAGCAGCAGCGGTGGTGACCTGATGCGGGCCCATACGGGCTTGCGGTAGAAGCACACGGTGTGGCGCTGCACCTCACTCTCCGTGACATAGAAGTGGCTGCGCAGCACGGGAATGACCAGCTCCGCCAGCACCCACTGCACCCACAGGCAGCTCAGCACCCGGTGCGCCTGCACTGCATGCACATGCCGTGCTGCCACCCTCCCACCGCCGCCCTGCTCCTGTTGCCCCTCACAGACTGATTGCACCTGCTTCGGTTGCTCTTGCTGCCCTGCCTGCTCGCCCTCGTCCCCCCTCCGCATCTCCACCTCTTCATCTCTCCCCCTCTCCTCCTCGCTCGCCACACCTTGCTCTTCCTCCTCATCCATCCCACAACTCCCCTGCTTCTTACCACTCTCCTGTTCTTTCTCCCTCCTGCTCCGTCCACTCCCTCCCCGTGCTTCTCCCCCCTGACCCTCTCTCTCACCCCCCCCTCGCCCACTGGCCTTGGTTATTGCGGCAGGGGACCAGGGGAGGCAGGCGGTGGGCAAGCGGTGCATGGCGGCGTGCAGGGGGAACTGGTCGAACCTGCGCAGCCCAACAAAGCGACCTATCAACTGTCTCATCCGCCGCATGCTTCCCTTTCTCCCACCCTTGCCATGCTGCTTTGCAGCCTTAGAGGCAGCTTCCCCGCCCACCCCTCGTCCGCCTTGCCTCCTTGCTGCAACTGCTACCGTAGCAACCGCTTCCCTTTTTCTCCCTCCCGCCTCCACTTCTCCTCCCCTTCCAACCTCTGCTGTTCCCCTTCCCCCTGCTCCACCCTTCTTCACCACTGCTATGCCCTCATCTCTCCCACAGGGCAGCAGATGGCAAGGCACGATGCTACGGATCACGGCCCATGTGAAGTTAGCTACCTGCTGCTGGCTGCTCGTGGCCTGCACTAGCTCCTCTACAGGCACCTCCCTCAGGCTCCCCATGCCCTGCCCTTTTGCACTCCCACTCCCACTCCCTGCTCTTCTCCTGCTGCCTGAATTAAGTGTCCCAAGGGGTGCGTGCTCGCGTGAGCGTGAGGGCAAACCAGCGTCAACGGCCTCAGCAGCAGAATTTGCAGTGGGCGTGGCAGCAGCTTCACCTTCCACTGCCGAATCAGCCGCAGGCACAGGTGCATGAGCATCAGGTGTAGGTGATGGCGCTCTGGGTGTGCCGCTCACATGTGCAGCAGGAGCACTCATGGCGGGTGGGCGGCCATGCATGTCCACTGCCGCTGGCTGCACAGCATGAGCAGGTGCACGTTCACTGGCATCACTGGTGGAGACAGCGCCATTGCAAGGCGCGTCACTGGTACTACTGCCACGCGCTGCTGCTACAGCTTCAGCAGCCCCATCTGATCCTGCCACCACGTCACGGGCACTGCCTGAACCGACAGCAGCACTGGCTGCTGCTTTAGCAGTAGAAGCGTCTCCAGCAGCGGCCTGTACAGGCGCGGCAGCAGCAAGCGGGGTTGGAGAGGAGGCGGCAGGGAGAGGGCAGTGCTTGGCGAGCAGGCGGGAGAAGTTGCATGCACGGGCACGGCGGAGCATGGAGTGCAGCAGGGCGAGAAGAGCAGGCGAGGGCGGGGCGTTGAGCAGGTAAGCGGCGGGCCCACAGACTGCCCCTTGGTGCTGCTGTGCGCATGCAGCAGGTGCTGCTGCTGCGCGCTCTAGGGGCTGATGGAAGACGTGTTGGTACAGCTGCCCCGCACCCTCTCTTGTGGCGGGAAGGCGGTTCAGAATGTCTGGGAGGAGCAGGAGGGAAGGGGGAACGGAGAGAAGGGGTAGATGACAGGGGTAGTTCACAAGCGAGAGAGAGGGCATGGGACTGACATACACGCTCGGGGAGAGGTGGTGGCATGGCAGGTTATGGTGGATTGGAGGGGGCGGCGACATGCTCTCTTAGATGCGCATGGTCACATTCTTGGAAGGAAACACACTCTTGGGGGCACATACCATGCAATCCACCTGCCAAACTGCGAAGCTGCCAAACTGCCAAACTTCCACTTGCATTCAAACGTCTACTGCACCAGCTCGACTCTGAGCCTAACAGCCTGGCCTGACCTCCCTCCTGAACCCTGCTGCTGTGTGTGGGCTTACGTGACTTGGGCAGGCCGGGGTGAAGAGCAAAGCTGGAGCAGTAGAAGAGCGAGGAGCGCGGCACAAGCTGCCGCTGCACGCCTGCCAGCAGGGACGTGCTGTGGGGTGCAGGGAGCACGGATGGTCGTGGTGAAGGAAAGGTGCCGTGCCGGTGATGCTGAGAAGGATGCTGGCGAGCAGTCCTCCCATCCTCATCTGCCTCTCTCCTTATCTCACCTGCCTTCTCCTGTCGCTTACCCCCCTCCTCCACCACACCTCTCTCCACAGCGCCCACTCTTCGGTGCTGCCCGTTCTCTCCGTTCTCTCCTTCCCTATCGCGCTCGCCTTTCCACCCATGTCCCCTGCCACGAGCAGCATCTCTCCCTGCCTCTGCATCCACGCACCGTCCACCATCTGCCCCCTCCCTTCCGTTCCCCTCTGCTCCTTTTTCTCTTCCCCGCCCATGACCACACCCACCTTCCCCTCCCTTTCTCCTTTCCGCACTCCGTTGCACCTTCCGGCCGCCCCTGTTCCTCTTCCCCCTCTTTCTCTTCTTCTCTGCACCCACGTAAACCCCATCATCTGAACCATCTCCCACCTGCCCCTCCCTGTCACAGCCGCCCTCTGCTTGCTCTGCGTCTCGCTCCCCTCCCCCAGCCACCTCCTTGGGCCACCCAGGGACGCCCTTACCCTCACCCGCACCTCGCTCTGCACGCCTGCTCTCCTCCCCTCTGCGCCCATCCCCACCTCCCTCACCGACTCCCCTTCTTCCAACTGACCCATCTGCCCTCGCCCACCCCACCCTCATCCTTCCCTCCCCTCCCCGCCCTTCCTCAGTCTCTCCTCCTGTACTCCCCGCCACCTCCTTTTCCGTCGCCATATTCCCCCGGCCTTGTCCTGCACTCCACACATGCACACCCGTGCCGCCGTCCTTGCTCCTCCCAGCATCCCTCCTGCCTCTCCCTCTGTGCTGCACCCCGCCCACCGCAGCACTGCCACGAAGACCCCCCCCACCACCAGTGCCTACTGCCACACGTGCCACCACATAGCGCGTGCGCGAGGGCACGCATGCTGCTGATGGCTGGGCGTGCGCGGTGCCAAGAGCAGGGGAGTGGCATGGAGGGCGGGAGTGGGGTGACGCAGGAGGGTGTAGGCGGTCGAAGGTAGAGCAGCGCGATTGCAGTGCATGGCTGGATACAGGAGGGCCTGCCACTTGGACGAATGAGGAGGCTCCAAGTGGCACGAATATGGAGGCATGCGAGAGCAGATGAACCATTGCTGGCACGCCCACCTGCAGGAACGAGGTGTGGGTGTGTGATCATCGGGGGAGGGGAGGGGCACGGAGAAGCAGGAGGATAAAGAAGCAGCAGGAGAGGGTGGTGAGAGGGAGGAGTGGTTGAATGACTGAGCCGACAAGAGGGAATGCAGTGCAGCTCGTGCGTCAGCGTCACAACCACACGACGACGAGGCACACACACATGCACACGGCAAGGAGGCATGGGGCAGGCGGGCAGGCAGGCACGCGTGGTGGGGTGAGGTGAGCACCTTGTTTAGCAGGTGCTGCCAGGGGGGCGACGTGACAACGGCCCACGCCGTGTTGTGCGGGAGAGGCGAGGTCACAGGTGACGCCGCAGCAGCTGGCAGGGTGGTGGCAGGCGCAATGGGCTTGGGTGGGTTGGAGGCGGAGGAGGAGGAGGGATGGGAGAGAGTGTTGTTTGGTGGCATGGGCGAGAGTGAGTGGGTGGGAATGTGGTTCTGCTGCAAGCCGGGAAGGCATGGCGGCGCCGTGGCCCACTGCAGCTCACTCTGCGGCGACGTGAAGGGCATAGCCTGCCATGTATGCAGGTAACAAGCACGAGGAGGTGTGGTCCGTGCAGGCACAGCACAGCACAGCAGCAGGGCAGAGGAGGGAGGAACACAAGGTCAACGCACAGCACTGCACACTGGACAGTGACACGTGAGGGGGGAGATGAGAGAGGGAAGAATGCAAATGCGATACGGATAGGCGTGAGGAGGAATGATGCAGAGCCGAGCCCACCTACCTACCTACTCACCCACCCACCATAACGCCTCTCCTCACCCGCCTGAATCCTGCTGCCAGCACGCTTCCTTGGATAGCGCGCTCATGCTCATCCGCCTCCCCCCCATGGCGCTGCCGCCCTTGCATGCCCGCCCTGCCCGCACGGCCCCTCCCAGCTGCCCGTGCGCCCTGCCTCGCTGCCACGCCCGCTGATCCACCACGCCCGCCCGCGCCTTGAGGCAGGGCAGCAGAGCGCCTGAAGTGCCGCAGCACAACACGTGTCACAACCTGGTGCACGCGTGCAGAGGGGGACGGGCGGACAGTAGCAGAAGCCCGTTCAGGTGGAGTGGAAATGAGAGTGTTGAAATACCGTCTCTCTAGAATTTGTGAAACGTTGTTTCTTCCGGTCATTCGTTTGACAAGCTGGCTGCTGCCATCTGCCAACTGCCAAGATGATGCAATGTTTGCATGGCACGCATCGCAGGCTTGACAGGCATTGCTTGCATGCATTGCAGGCACAGCTGTTTAGGTGCCTCAAAAGCTGGACAGGAGACCACCCGCATGGCAGGCATGGTGCAGTGCAGGCACAGCTGACAGCACACTGCCCTGCCACAACATGCCACCCCACACCACTAACAACGGGTGTGTGCCAGTTCTTTTCCGCAGCCATGCCTGCCAAGCCATGCCAAGCCATGGCAGCCCATAGCAGCGCACCTCCTCTTGCGTCCACCTCATGCCACCACGCCCTCCCTGCTCGCCATCCTCGCCACCACCACCTGCTTCCTCATGCCCCCTCCCCCCCTCTCCCCCCTGCAGCAGCAGTGCATGGAGCGCAGCACAGTGCTCCTCAGGCATCCACGCCAGGGCCTCCCTCACCGCACTCTCCACCGCCTCATCCTCCTCCTCCTCCGCCGCTCCTCCTGTCGCCCACCCTCCTCTCCCTCGCGCATTGTTGTTGTCGATGGCACCGTCTGTGTCCCGCTGCCGCTTTCGCGTGACTCTCGTGCCTCTCGCGTCACACTCGCCCTCGCACGCCTCCTCCTCCAAACATCTTCGTTCCGTTTCGTTTCCGCACGCTTCTCCTGCTCTGCCCTCCACCTCGCCCCGTTGTGCTCCGCGTTTTGCCGCCCTGCCTTTGGGTGTGGGTGCGTCGCCTCCCCGGGCGAGCAGTGGGAGGCGGAGCAAGTGGGCGAGGGGCGCTATGCCGGGGTACAGACGCCGCAGCACCCGCACACCCACCTGCTCGCCTGCTGCCCCACATGCTGCCGCTGCTGCCGCTGCTGCTGCTGCTGCTCCCGCTTCCTCACTACCTGCTGCTACGAGGCCCCCTCCGCCTGTCTCGGCACACCCCCCACTGGCACACCCGCCACTGGCACCCCCTCGCCCCTCTCCCCGTGCGTCGCATTCCATGCGGTGTGCGACAGTGCCACCCGCCTCTGCTACTGTGGGTATGCAAGCAGGTGGGCGCAGTGAGACGGCCCGTCGTCTCAGTAAACAGAAGCATCCCGCATCGCTGAAAAGACTATCATGCGCAGATATCCTGCAGAAAAAAGCAGTTCGGACATGCTCTACACAATGCCAGCCTGAGATGAATGCCGTCGAACACAGCAGATATCTGTCTCACATATCACTGCACGGATTTGCAACCCCATCAAACAATTATATCCTCGCTGAAGCGCCGAACAAGAACGTAAGATACAGCGTTAACGGTATTTGTGTTTCGTAAATTGTATAGACATGTAAGGAAAATTCCTTTTCCTTACTTCGCATCCCTGCTCAACGCGTACATCACTGTAGCACCACAGTCAGCACCGTTACCACTCGCAACCCTCGCATCGACAATCCGCCCGCCACCTCCGCACATCGCACCCCCACCTTACGGCTCGGCGGGTAACCCGTGCTCCAGGCCTCCGCTTCGACACTTTTTCCCAACCTCAGTCCCAGGCCCGTCGCGCGACAACCACAGTCCATTACCGTTACCACTGTAGTTTCGCTATATATTCTTCGCTCATGCCTTCGCTCATTGTACTCTTGCTTCGATAGTGCAATTCTCGTTCGTTCACTCAATTGCACTCGTAACACTTGGTATTCAGAGCCTACGATCTCCTCTCGGACCGCACCCACACCTTCGCTTCCCCACTATCTCAATTTTTGGGGGGGGGTAGACGTATCTCAGCGACACAGCACCGCCGCTCGTAGTGCTCTCTCGTAAGCACGCACGGCCACGACCGAGGCTCTCGCTGAGCTCGCCCGACACCCCCGCCGTGGCCGTATTCACGCTCGCCACATTGTCGCAGGAGCAGCTCGACCGTCTGGTGCGCCAACTTGAAGATTCGGCGCCCGAAATTGCGACGCTCACGGCGGAACGTGACTCCGCACGTCAGCAATCAACGATGAACACTCCAGCGCCACCACACGCACCGACAAATGCATCTGCACAATCAGACGAGCCGATCGTCAACTCGTTCGGCACACCAACACAAAACAACAGCGTGAGACAGCGCTCAGGCGCAGCCAGCGATGGCGCCACGATGAACATCTTCTTCGACGCGAATTACGTCGAGTCGGACGCAGCAAAGATTCGGTATGTCGTTTTGCTGCTAAGGGGCCCCGCCATGGACTGGTGGCGAGTGATCGCAACGTCGCTACGCGCGTACGAGCCATCGTCGCAAGAGGAAGGGCCCACGGGCCCAGCTGTCACCTGGAGTTCATTCTGCGAGACTGCCCAATACAGCACGTGGGATGCGTGGTGCGCAGGGCTTCGAGCGCGCTTCGAGCCGATCGCGACTTCTATTTCGGCGCGTTAGAGATTGCGCACTCGGCGACAGCTTGGATCGGTTCAAGACTATACGAGTGGTTTTCTCGCATTATGCGAGCAAGTCGGCTACATGCACGAAGCGGAGCGGGTGGACCGTTACGTCGGAGGGCTGAAGCCGGACATCTCGCACGAAATCATGCTACGCGGGCTCTCGAACTTCAACGAGATTCTCGCGCTCGCCGAGAAAATCGACATTTTACGCCGTCTGAGACCGGGGTCCTACTATGGACATCGTCATCGGGGACCGATCGAGCACGCCACTGTACATGCCGATGCGACGAATTCAGCTGCCGCACCGTTTAAGGGGTGATGCTTTGCTTGCAACAGGCCGGGCCATCGCAAGAGCGAATGCCCAGAGGAGCTAAGGCGCCGCGGAGCAGAGCAGGGGAGGGAGTCTCCAAAGCAGGGAAACGCCAGCAGTCAGTAGGAATCGGGCCAACTACTGACGAGACTGCCTGCTCGCCCAACCCCACCGACCCTCACCGAGTCACAGTACCAATTCATGCTATCGATCGGACTCGGACGAATAAGGAGGGTACAGCAATGGATTGCCCAGTACTGATCCACGGGAAAATACAGGGAGCAGCAGTGAAGATTTTTATCGACGGAGGAGCAAGCCACAGTTTAGTTAATACCGCAACCGCACGAAAACTGCAGCTGACACTTAGCCGTTGCTTACCAGAGATAGACGCACGCTTAGTCGACGGCACGCCACTGGCCATACGGGAGAAGGTAGAGAGATTCAAAGTCCGTTGCGGGGGAAATTCAGGGTTTACACAGGAAATGCTCGCAACGACACTGGATGGGCACGATATTTTACTAGGACGTGATTGGCTGCGACGATACAACCCGCGAATTGACTGGATGACGGGTAGCTGCACCGTGCGAAGTAGTGGTAACTGGGTCGAGCTACCTCGCTGGCAGTCGCCCGAGTCTTCAACGGTACACGTCAACACCATCACAATGAAACGGGCTGTCGCTACTGGAGCTGACGTGTACGCAGTAGACATCGTAGTAGTAGAGGAAGCAGAGCAGCCGAGTGATTTCAAGAAAATGCTGGCAGCCGTACCGCCCGAATTACAGGAACTCTTGAAACGATACCCCGGGATTTTCCCCGACGACTTACCAGAAGGAGTGCCACCTCAGCGAGCACATGACCAACGAAACGAATTAGAACTGGGGGCACAGCTAACCGTACAGCGCCAGTTCATACTGACACAGCCCGAGCTTGACGAACTAAGGAAGCAGTTAGGTAACCTGTTAGAGAAAAAATTCATCAGACCGAGCTCGTCACCGTTCGCCGCACCGATACTATTCACGCCGAAAAAAGACGGGGGTTTTCGCATGTGTATCAACTACAGAGCACTGAACAGGGTAACAGTCAAGTCGCGGTACCCCATTCCCCGCGCCGACGAACTGATCGACCAACTGCGAACAGCACGGGTTCTTACGAAAATATATTTACGGGGAGGTTACCATCAGATTAGGGTCGATCATCGGACTGCGCCGAAACAGCTTTCAGGACTAGGTACGGGTCGTTCGAGTACACTGTGATGCCATTCGGGCTGACCAACACACTGGCGACTTTTCAGATGACCATGAGCGATGCATTTAGGCCGCTCTTAAATAAATGTGTAATAGTTTACCTCGACGACATCCTAGTGTACAGTCGGGATAAGCAGCAGCACTTAGCAGATCTGGAAGCAGTGTTTAAGGTTTTAGACGAGCACAGATTACTGACCAAGGGTTCCAAGTGCGAGTTCTTCCAGGATAGGTTAGAATTTTTGGGGCACGTTATTTCGGAGGCTGGAGTTGAAATCGACCCAAAGAAGCTGGATACGGTAAAAGCGTGGCATCCCCCGACGAACATCACAGAGCTGCAGAGCTTTTTAGGGTTCGTTAATTATGTGCGTCGGTTCGTCCCCGATATGGCACGGTTAACTGTCCCACTGGCGGATTTACTGCGGAAGGGGGTCGCTTTTACGTGGGGGGAGAAAGAGCATGCTGCCTTCTCTGCCCTGAAAAATGTTCTTTGTTCACCGCCCGTCCTGCGCATCGCCGACCCACACCGTGAGAAAACTGAAACGAGAATGATTGAACTATGAATGAACTGAGTACAAGTATTTACCCTAATTGGGTTGTACCCCTTATGGGCTACCCCACTATAGCCTACACAATAAGCACAAGCTATATGTTCTGACACACCCCCATAGGCAAAGTGGGGGAGAACAAGGGGTCACAAGACCAGTCAAGCAAAGCAAAGCAAAGCAAGCTCAGGGTGGATCACAAAGTCACCACACATTCCGAGCACAAGTTCAAGGCCACAAGGCAGTTCACATGCAGGAGTAGATATATATAAAGGACTAGACAAGCAAGAGCACGTGTATATATATGCAACAGTGCGAGCAAGGTCAAGAGGTGAGCAAGTGAGGCAAGACAGGCACAAGACCCAGCTGCGTGCAGAAGCGCTGATGATCATAAGGCGCAAGTGCCTTGGTGAAGACATCAGCAGTGTTGGCCTCAGAGGCCACGTACGCAAGCCGCAGCTGACCACGCTGCTGTAGCTCACAAGCAAGAAAGTAGCGAAGAGCAATGTGCTTCGTCCTGTGCTCCAGTCTCTGCTCTCGACACAAGGCCAGCATGGCCTTGTTGTCTACATAGAGGACTGGAGGAGAACGAGGCGACTCTCCAAGGTCGGTCAGCAGGTAGGTGAGCCAGCGAAGCTCCTGTGCAGCCATGGCCCCAACGTAGATCTCAGCCTCACAACTGGAGCCGAGAACAGAAGACGAGCGAGTAGCCCGCCACGAAACAGAGCCGGAACCAAGGCTGAAGGTGTAGCCCAGTGACGACCGCTGCGTAGCCTGGTCGTCAGCCCAAGAAGCGTCCGCGTGCCCAGTGAGGACCACTGGACTCCGCCCTCCAAGCACTAGCCCCATGCCCGACGTACTGCACACGTAGCACAACACCCTCTTCGCTGCAGCCATGTGCTCTAGTCGGTGTCTACCAGGAGCAACACAGCGTGCGAGAATGCTAAGAGGGTATGCAAGGTCAGGTCGTGTGCAGGTCATCAGGTACATGAGGCAGCCAACAAGCTCTGGATACGGGCCACTCGACTCTACGGACTCATCCGAAGGCAGAGCTGAGAGCGAGTGGCGAGTAGACAGAGGAGTGGCCTGAGGCGAGGAGTACGTGAAGCCGAAGCGCTGAAGGACCTGCTGCACCATGTGTGACTGAGTCAGAGTAAGTGCGTTGTGCTCTGTCCCGGGTGATCTGCAAGCCAAGGTAGCTGCGCAGTTCACCCAGGTCTGTGCACGTGTGTCTCTTCTGCACCTCGGACTTCACGTAGGCGAGTCCAGCAGTGTCAGCTTTGGCAAAGACCAAGTCGTCGACGTACACGAGGATGTAGAACGGCGGCAGAGAGGTGTCGGTGCGCAGAAACAGCGACGGGTCGGCAGTAGAAGGAGCAAACCCAAGAAAACAAGCGTAGTCCTCAGTGTGTCGTGCCACTCACGTGGCGCCTGGCGGAGACCGTAGACTGGACGCCGGAGACTCCACTGGGTACCAGGAGGGAAAGACCCAGTGAAGCCAGGTG